AGAGGGACCATTATCTTAAAGATCTTGGTCAAATAACCTGAAAGCTGTGAAGGTGACAGCTTTCAAATTACCATTTTCCTAAAAAATATCCTTGTGTGTCAGCAAAGCTTCACGAAAGGAAAAAGAGGGGTTACTGAAGAACAGGGTTAGAGAACTTTTTGTATGGAGAGATTTCTAAGTGGCTAATTAAGCCATTGTGTAGTGCAAACATACCATTTACAATTGTCTTTAGCATGCATGGATGCTCAGTGTCAATTTGGGAAACTATATGCAATGGCTACGAGTTATATGTCAGTAGAGGAGTCCGAGCGTGTGGTCTTGGCTATATACTACACTGATTTGCTGGTGGAACTGGCACAGCCCTGCACTCTTTCAGCACAGTTACTCCATTTCTGGTGAGTACTGGTAATGCTAAATAAACCTGCTGCTACCCTGCATTTTTCCAGAAAAATACTTCATGCAGTAGCAGAGCTGCTATACTGGAGACTTATAAATCCATCATTAGTGTGTGGATGTATATGTGTTGTGGTGGCTAGGCAGTAGAGACTGGTGTGCCAGCAGAAGTTCTGGAAGCAGAGACAGCTTAACATAGCCTCAAGTCTCATCTACACTGGGAAGTTGCCCCCATTTCAGCAAGTGATGGGCAGCCACAGCAGCAGTGTAAACTGCAAGGTCTGACAAAGAATAACTTGTGTTACTGGAATTTACTTCTGTCTCTAACAAATGTAGCAGGTTTACCTTTCAGAGCTTGGGTTGAGTCCCAGGCTTGAGATTCTGCTGTTTTCATTGGTGGAGCCCATCCACCAATCAGGAGGCAGCAAGAGAACTAAAGTCACGCCCCTTTCCTGAGGGGAGGGGGAGAAGAGCTCCCCCAGACTGGATTGAAGACTGTAAATGGTCAGGTTCCGAAGACTTGAGGGCGGCGCCCTGGAGCGTATAAAAGGAGCTGTGTGCCCAGCACGAGGGGCAGATGCGGCAAGGGACTCAAGAAGAGCAGAGCCAAGAAAAGCTGGGGAGCTATTTCCCAGTGGGCAATAGTCCCAAGACTCCTGAAGCTGCCACTGGAGGAGCAGCCTTGGGAGCGATGGGAGGCTGCTCAGGCTGTTGATGGTACATGGGGACGGTGCATAGAGACCCGGGCCTGGGAGCAGTGTGAAACGCTCAGGCCCATCACGGTGTACGATTCGGTGCATGGAGCCCAGGTTTTGGGAGCTGCAAGCAGTGGCTCGAGCCTGCAACCCCAGAGGGCCAGCAGGCCATAATGTGCGCAGGGTGGAGCCAGGGAGCAGCGGAGGCTGTTTGGGTTAGCCGCCTGGCATAAGGATGGATGGCCAGAGCCTGAAGGGCCTGGCCTGTGCTAAGAGCCCTCAGTGCCGAGCCAGGGCATGGGGAGATAGTAGTGCTGCAGCGTGAGGCCCAGGAGCCAACAGCGGTGGTGCAGCAGCTGAGAGGAGCTGAGCCTTTGGTGCCCAGAGCGGGGCACAGGGTGAGGAGGAGCCCAGCAGTGCAGGATAGGGCTGGAGAGGTGCTCCAGCAGAGGAGACCCCATTGAGCTG